GCTTATCAAGCCATGCTGTGGCAGGTGTCCCACATATAAAAAGTAGAGGAAGATGGGCACGGATGTTAGCCCAGGGCCAATCTTCCTCAACAAAAAGAGTAGGATTGGCAACAGATGTTAGCTCAGGGCTAATCTTCCTTACCAAAGAAAAAGAAAAAAAGTCCCATGTGGATATAAACTCCAGTACTGCTCCATGTGAAGTTTTGGAAAAGAAAATTTTCATGATGCTGTAGTGGCTTGTATGTTTAGTGGCTTGTGTATTCATAGTTAAGATGTAAGGTTCTCCATCGCAAAGAGGATACAGGGCCTGGAGCCTGATAGAGCCAGAAGGTCAAAACACAGAGATCAGCCAGGGTTGAAATAAGTCACCTGCCTGGGATGCTGTGTGGGTAGTAAGCGGAGACCCGGAGGACCGACTGACTTCAACAGACACTGGATCCCGGGAGGCGAGATCAAAGCCTGGCTCTGATGTGGAGGAAGTTGTGAGGATAGGAGTCAGAAACCGCACCCCTGGGGTGCAGTCAAGCAAGGTGAGGTGCTACATGGGCGTGCAGGACAAGGCGGTCGGGCCAGCCCAGGGTCAGTAACAGCCTGCAAACTTCTCCTTGCTGGCCAGACACCAAGCAAAGCACGGTTCCCGGGAGGCCCCGCAGGGCCTCAGCTGTGAGCCAGGTCAGGTTCTCCAGGCCCAGCCGAGGGGTCAGCGTGCCGAGCTCTCCCCCACGACCTCATGTGGAGGAGGTGCCCAGTGCCCCATTTTGCCTCTCACCTCATGAGACAAAGGATTTTTGTTGCTTTTGACAAAATTTGCAGGCTACATTGACAATTTCTATTGTTTCCTGAAAAGCCATTTTCCTAAAAATTAGTCTCTGCCATCCTCATGTTTTCCAAAACATTGAAAACCTACAGAAATTTTATTTCTTTTGAAAATAAGTTTCTGGTTTTTGTAAAACTGATTCATGTTCAATGTAAAAAAATTCAAACAACACAGAAAAGGAGATAAAAATTGCCCAGAAACTCTAACTTACAGAAATAACTCTGTGCGTGTGTCAATTAATATATTGATTTTTTAATTTAAATTTTTAGTTTTAATTGTAGTAAAATACAGAAAATTTACCATCTTACCATATTTAAGTGTACAGTTCAATAGTGCTAAGTACTTTCACATTGTTGTGCAACCAATCTCCAGAACTCTTTATTTTATTTTATTTTTTTGTGAGGAAGATCAGCCCTGAGCTAACATCCATGCTAATCCTCCTCTTTTTGCTGAGGAAGATCGGCTCTGAGCTAACATCTATTGCCAATCCTCCTCCTTTTTTCCCCAAAGCTCCAGTAGATAGCTGTATGTCATAGTTGCACATCCTTCTAGTTGCTGTATGTGGGATGCAGCCTCAGCATGGCTGGAGAAGCGGTGCGTCGGTGTGCGCCCGGCATCCGAACCCGGGCCACTGGTGGCGGAGCGCACGCACTAAACCGCTACGCCACGGGGCCGGCCCCCAGAACTCTTTCCATCTTGCAAAACTGAAACTCTATCTATACCCATTAAAGAACAACTCCCCATTCCCCCTACCCCAGCCCCTGACAATCACCCTTCTACTTTCTGTCTCTATGAACTTGATGACTCTAGGCGTCTCATATAAGTGGAATCAAATAGTAGTTATCCTTTTGTGACTGGCTTATTTCACTTAGCATAACGTCCTCAAGGGTCATCCATATTGTAGCATGTGTCAGAATTTCCTTCCTTTTTAAGGCTAAATAATATTCCAATGAATGTATATATTACATTTTGTTTCTCCATTCATCTTCAGATGGACACTAGGTTGTTTCCACCTTTTGGCTACTGTGAATAATGCTGCTATGAATAGGTGTGCAAATATCATATTGACTTTTCAATACATGTACTATACACATTTTATAAAAATGAGTGAATATTATTTATTTGTTTTCTAACCCACCTTTTAAATTTGACAATTTGTCCTTGATATTTTTCCAAGTCAAATACAGATCTATGAATCACTTTTTCCTAGTTTATTATGAAATATTTTAAATATGCAGAAGAGTTGAAGCATTAGTACAATGGTGACCTTTATATCTACCACCTAGATTCAACAACTGTTACATTTTGTCATATTTTCCTTATCTATTTTCTAAATATTTCTTGAAAACAAGGACTTTCTGCCTCCTGGCCATGACTTTCACACTTAAGAAATTAAAATTCATTCTCTAATACTAGCTAATATCTAGTCCATATTCGATTGTCCCCCAAAATGTATGTTAAAGCTGGTTTCTTAAATCATAATCCAATGAAAGTTCAATCATTATAGTTGGTTGTTATGTGTCTTCTCTTTTGAAAATCTGGAACACTACTCCTATCTTTTTTATTTTTAACAAGGCATTGACTTTGAGAAGTTTCCAGGTTTGGAGATCTTCCACATTCTAGATTTCTTTGACAGTTTCCTCATGGTGTCATTTAACTTGTTCCTCTAGCTTCTGTCACTCCTACAAACTAGACATGAGATCTGAAGGTTTGAGTAGGTGTGGGTTAAAGATTTTTGGAAAGAACGTGTCATTGGTCAGGCTGTGTACTTCATGTTGCATCACATCAGAAGACAGGTGATGTCCCCCCACTATTAATGCCAATAACTGTGACCACCAAAAGTGGCCCTTGGTTCTATAGCCAGCCCTGTGCCTCTCCTAGAACAGCTGTGTTGGCAGCTGTTACTTGGGGCTCTAGACAGAACAGTGGAGTCCTCAACTATATTAGAAATGAGTGCTGGTTATGAGTCACACAGAAAGTTCCAAGCACCAAAAGGAAAGTTTATTAGAACAAAGGAAACTTATCATAACTCTGCAGGGGGATATCCAGGCACTGGGCCTCAGAAAAGAAATGCCTCCAGGAAATGAACAGAACAGCTGTTGGAATCCCAGCTTGCTAGCGTTTCTCTCTGCTTCATTCTTTACTCTTACTCAGTTCTCTTGCTGGGAAATAGCCCCCCACGGGTTCTGTGTCTACGTATGAGATGTCCAGCCACATGAAGAGACTGGCCAGCGGAACTTCTGTCGCAATTCCACACGCCCGAAGTAGGGAATCTGATTGTCCCGCCCTGGATCAGATGCCCACCTCTGGTCCAGTAAGCTCTGCTGAGGGTGGCTGGGTCATGTGCTCAAACATGGTTGCCAGGCTCCCACTTCTGTCATCCTGTGGATTCGGGTACTGAAGACTCAAGAAGGAAACCCCCCTCTCCTGCACATGGCTGCCTTTCTTCCTGGGGACAATCATTGCAATTTGAGAAGCACACAACTGGAGTTTCAGCAAATGCTAGGAATGACACTCTAAGCTAGACACCTAGGACTTGGGAAAGCACAAGAGGATGGTGCTGCTGGTGAGGAGAAGAAGAATGACGACAACCATGCCCGAGGGTGTACAGTACAGGTGTTTTGTGGGGGACTTGCTGTCATTAAAAGGATTATGGGACAGGATTTGTATCTGGACAAAGATTCCCGTATTTATGGATGCACAGTGGTCTGAAGCTCGTGCTAATGTTTCTGTCTTCCTTCCACGACTGTTTAAACTGACGTGCCAGGGATCTAAGTGGGCGTGAGAAAATGGTGACGAGCCAGCCCCAGACTCCTCCACAGGGCTTATGGTGTGATGTGAGCCCTGCATGTAGAGTGTAAGAGGGTGACTCCATTTTGGAGCAATATGGCATAACATGAGAACTTCCTTTCCTTTCTACATGCACTCCCACTTCTAAAGGTCTGTGCTAGGCTTTTACCCATGTAAGCCATTTCAGATATTTTCTGGAATAAGCAGAATAGATATATCTGAAAATATAAAACAGGCCGTGTATATATTTTTATACCAGCTCGCAGAAAATGGAAACATCATACTAATAGTGGTACTACTGTGACTATGTAGACAGGGATCATTTATAATAATTTTTCCTGAAGGAAATAATTTGTAAGCTCAGACTTGGGATGGAGAACAGGCATCCTCCATGGGGGCTGAGGAGTGGAGTGAGTCTCACATTCCACATATAATTTGTTAGTTATCTTTTTTTGCTCATGAAAAGCCACTTTTCTAAGCTCCTCCACTCTCAGGTGCTGCAAATTTCGCTTTTTCAGGTCAGTGCTGCAACCTCAGTCTGCTCGACCAGCAGCAATGGACAGCGTTTTGGAGTGACAATCAAATGCATAGCAACTCAGGGGACTTCACCCAACACCAAGATTGCCTAGCTCTAGGAAAGACACAGGACTGGTGACAACACAGCGTGCAGGGTGATGGCGGGGTGGTCTGTGGACTCCAGGCACACACTGGGAATGCCTCCGGCTCCCTCCACACATCGGGTGTGCACGTGGGCACGGGGTGAGGCCGAGAGCATGCGGACAAACTGCACGGGAAGCCATTCACTCTGGGGTCCCCTCAGCTTTTGTCCTTGCTCGCCTCAGCCTCCTTCCAGTATGTGAGGGGTGCCCGTTCTCAGTGCAGCCGCACCTCCCCAAAGCCCTTTCCTCAGGACCCACAGTGAGACAACGGGGCAGAGGTGCCTAGTCCATCCTCAGCAGGGTCTTGTCGTCCTACATTCAGTAGGACACCCCCATAATTCCTTGACTTAGTGCCGCAGGGAGAACTCAACCAAGCCAAGGGCCAAATCCTCCCGGGTCCTGTGTCTAACAGATGGGTCACCACCCAGCTGATACCCAGGGCCATGGCTGCCTCACGTTTTTATCCTAAGCACAGAGTCTGGCATATGACAGGTACTTGATAGATAAGTATCCAGTGCATATTCAGTTTTGACATCTGAATTTTAATTATTTCATATTCAGGTTGCTCATGTGTCTAGTGTTTAGGAGTAAGTAAATGATTGCTTAACAAGCAAAATGATTTTTTTCTATTTTAAGAGTGATTTATATCAAAGGTCTCTGGCCTTTATGCAGTTAAAAGTCATGATGGCTATAATTTAAAGTCCTGAACTATTCTCTTCTCATCTGTCTTTCAGGTTATTTGAATACATTTTGCTCTATAAGGATGGAGTGATGTTTCAGATTGAACAAGCCACCAAGCAGTGCTCCAAGATCATCCTGACGGAGCCCTGGGATCCTCTAGATATTCCTCAGAACTCCACCTTTGAGGACCAGTACTCCATAGGGGGGCCCCAGGAGCAGATCACCGTCCAGGAGTGGTCCGACAGAAAGTCAGCTAGATCATGTAAGGGTGCAAGAAAGTATTCGAGTGATGCATCTCAGGAAGCACAATGGGAAAAAATGTTCAAGTCCATTACGGAAGGTAGTTGTTAGGGAAATTTATCAGCTTAATCGAAATGTTTAACCCCTTCAAAATCTCCACGTGTACTCTGCTGGTTGTGTAGCGCCAGGATTAAGCATCATATTTGAAACACCTCAGCCTTCCGGCTCCACCTGTACCTCTCCGCCACTGTGGCTGTTACGGGCCTAGCCTTGGCTCCCACGTTTGATGATACCCCGGGGTCAGTGGCATAGAAGGTGTTTGTCTAAGGCACACGTTAGAATCAGGTGCCTCCTTTTCCTTCCCCCCCATCAATTCCCAAAGTCTCAGTGACCAGATCTACTCCCATTGTTGTGTCTGCTTTTATACGATGTGAAGCTCTTCTCTGCTGTGTTGCCAATATGCCTACCCCAAAACTGTTTCAAAAACACAGGCCGTTATGCTGTGGAAAATGATATTGCCCTTCCCCCACCCAAATTAAGCATAAAATTACTGTATGACCCAGCAATTCCACTTCTGGGCATATACCCCAGAGAAGTGAAAGTAAGGGCTCAAGCAGATATCTGTACATCTGTGTACATAGCAGCATTGTTCATAATAGTCAGAAGGCGGGAACAACCCAAGTGTCCATCAGCAGATAAACAGGTAAACAAAGTGTGCCATATACGTACAATGGAATATTAGTCAGCCTTAAAAAGGAAGGAAATTTTGATGTATATTACAACATGGATGAACCTTGAGGACATTATACTAAGTGAAATAAGCCAATCACTAAAGGACAAATACTGTATGATTCCACTTATAAGAGGCAGTTAGAGTCATCAAATTCATAGAGACAGAAAGTACAAGGGTGTTTGCCAGGGGCTGAGGGAGGGAGGAATGGGTAGTTAGTGTTTAATGGGCACAGAGTTTCAATTGGGGAAGATGGAAAAGTTCTGGAGAGGGACGGTGGTGATGGTTTCATAACAATGTGAATGTTCTTAATGCCACTGAACTGTACTTAAGAATGGTTAAAATAGTAAATTTTATGTATGTTTTACCACTGTAAAAAAAAATACGGGCATTTTGCCAGTCATCTATATTAAAAAGTCAACTTCCCTTCCTCTTGTAGATGAAACCTGGATTGGAATTTATACAGTCAAGGATTGTTATCCCGTCCAGGAAACCTTCACCAAAAATTACAGTGTGATATTGTCCACGCGGTTTTTCGACGTACAGCTGGGCATTAAAGATCCCTCGGTGTTTACCCCCCCGAGCACGTGCCAGACAGCCCAGCTGGAGAGGATGAGCGAGGACTGCTCCTGGTAAGCCTGTGAACGCAGAGGTGACAGCAACGGACACCAGATGCCAGTGGTCTCAGCGCAAAAGGGATTTGGGACTTGAGGAGATGCGAATCTTCATTGGAGATAAATATCATAATTTTAGGAGGATAAACATTGATGTGGGTTTTTTTGTATATGTGATTTTGACTACTTAAGCTATGTTTACAGAAGGGAATAGAATGGAATAGGTGGTAATATGAACTGGGGAGATGGCTAACGTGGGGCTTCAGACGTTTGTGTAGCCTATTTGGGTGCGAGCTTTCTTCGTGCGCAGTGGCACACACGGGAGTTGGGGTCAGAGGAGCAGTTCGCCTTGGCAAGGACGAGTATTTTATTACTGATGTTCCTGCCCCCACCCCATGCTCCCTTGGCTGCTGACAAAGTGATCCCTTAAAATCCCTTCCTGACTTAAGAGCTGTATGGCATGACCCAGGTGGGAGGAAATGAAAAACTATAATACAAAGTAAAATTCCTCTAAAAAGACATGTTAAACAAGAGGGTTTGGAAAATGTTAATGTCTCTACCTGGGTAAGCACGAGCCATATATGCTTCCTTTTTTCTATGCAAGAATATTGATCTATGTGCTGAATCATCACATACATGTCATAGAGCTAGAGACAGGGAGTATTCTAAAAATAGCACTGAACTGGGAGTCAGGAGACTTTGTCTCTGAAATGCAGGACTAGAATTCTCTTGTACTGGAACTCCTTTGATTAACTAAATGCACTGGGCTTTCCCTCGCCTCGGCCTTCCTCGGCCCTGTGTCACAAGCTCCCTGTCTATCCGACTCCCATCCCTCCTCCCCAGGCCAGCTCACGCATGGCCTTCAGAGAGCTGCTTCCAAGCCTGGACGGGGCGCACCTTGCAGCTTGAGCATGCTGTTCACACAGTGCCTCCTAGGCTGGGTGTCAACTGCCTGTACTCACTGGCCTGGCTGTGAGCGCCTTGAGTACGGGTCTGTGTTCCGCTTACCTTCATGCGCCCAGCACCAAGTAAGTGCCCGGCACGTGGTCAGTGCCCTGCACATCGGTAGAGTAGAGAACGCTAGTCTCTCTGGTCCTTACTTCCTCATCTGTTAAATGCGATTGGGTTTGCTGATCTCCAGGGAGACTCGCAGTAATAAAATTTATTATTCTGGATTCTTCTACTCTTGTGTGGCATCTGGCTGTCTCTCTATATCTATGTATCTATCTATCTATCCATCTATCGTCTATTACCAGGAGAAATGTGTGACACTTATCTTACACTGAAAACAATCTGTATTACTCACAGTTAATATTATTTCAATAAACTGATTTAATTGCATTTCAGAGTTTTCTTTGATATATTTGCTTTTGTAATGAATATGGATTATCTTGGCTATAAGGGAGTTAAAGCTCTTATCTAAAGTGCTTCACCTGGTCTAAACCAAATTCATTATCCTCTCTCAAAAGCTTGCTCTTCCTCTGAAAGTCCAGTTGCCAGGGTCGGAAGCCTCGGAGATCTTTTTGACCTATTTTTCTCCTTCAGTCCTCACAGACAATCAGTGTCCTGAGTCCATGAGAATAGTTCTTAAAGCTGCTGCCTCTTATCCATCCCCTTAGCCACCACCCAGGTCCAGCCTCTTAACATTGTTGGCCTTCACAACATCTTTATACCCTCTGTCCTTGTCCTGGCCTTTTCTTCTAGAAGCCGTCCTCTGTTTATTCAGTCAGTCAGTCAGTCAGTCAGTCAGTCAGTCAGTCAGTCATAAGCCAGTCTTGAATCCTGTTACCTCCAGTGCCCACGCCCTGCCAGTTCCTGGAGTCACAGAGCAGAGGGAAGCCCAGCCAAGGCCAGCACTTGGAATGCACAGAGGACGGATCCTGTCACAGCTGCCTTCGAGGTGGTGCAGCCTGACCAAGTCTTTGGGACACTGTTTGCCCTGCTTCCTATCTCTCCACCCACAGGATGGCCCCACTCCTTTCCAAACTGCACATCTCCCCTTAGCCCTGGATCTTTGTCTTTGCCCACCCCAATACACACCCCCACTCAAAGGAGGAAGGAAAGGAACTCCACTTATTTTATTCAGGTCATGTGAAGTGCGTGCCCTTTCATTTTTCAGTTGGCCCATGTTAGTAGTTAAGCCATATCTCCCTTCCAGAAGGATTTTACATCTGGTGGGACCTCAATCCACACCTGATGGTTCCCTGCCCCTGTGGTTCCCCACTGCCTGAAAGGAAAGCGGAGGCTCCTTGGCACGGTGTCCAAAGGCCTCTAGATCAGGCCCCTGACTCCCTTCCCTGCTTAGACACTTGGCACTGCTCTGTCTTTCCCAACTGCCCCAAGAGCCTGAGAAGTGAAGCCTGGGTTACCTCGGGGTGGCAGGAGGGTTTCCTTAGTCACCAGTCTTGCATAAAAACTCACTAGTGGCATCATAGTCAAAAAGAAGAGGGCTCTTGAATAGGCCAGGGATCTGCCCCAATTAATGAAAGGGAGGCCCAGTGTCTCACGTATCTGCAGATGTGGATTCCTGACAACAGGCCTGAACTAGGCTTTGGGTACCACTCTGTGGGATACTCTGCCTCATGTGTCTCTAACTCTTTACGCTACATCTGAGCAATTTATTTCCACCTCTCCCAAGGAAAATTGCCAGGATCCACGCAAGCACTGGGGCGTTGTCCACCCTCTGCCTTCAACTCTGAACGCCCAGCCCTGGGACAGAGCCATCCCTCCCTCTCCCACTGGCCCATGTGGAGTCAAAGGGGCCTGGCCTTTCTGCCTCCAGTTGCTCTATTATCAGGGTGACTTTCTTACAAGAAGCTTTGCTAATTGAGTTAATGCTGCATTTCCTAAAATTGGAACACATTTAAAAATTATTTAAATATTTTTAAAAGGGGAAAACATTTAGATTTCTGAGGACATTAACCATGAAGTGATCTTAGTTCCACACTATTTGAAAACTTAATACTCACCACTTCTTGGATTCCCTTTACTAACTCCACCCTCTCAATGTTTCCTTGTTATTTTAAATCACTTTGCCTGTTATCTGCCTGTACCACACAAGGGTGTTTTTCAATTTTTCCAAGTAAGTAGATCTTGGATGGATCTTATAGATCCATCTCCTGAAAGCGCCAGTGTCCTTGCCTTCCTTGTTGACTCAAAACGCCTTCAGTTGGAGGAAAGAATGGGCCTCCTTAGCCAAAGTCTTGTGAACAATTTATGAGATCTAAAGGCTTTGTTGGTAAACATCTATTTAAAAGACAAACTTACATTTATATATGGACATTCTAGCATCGATAATCTTTTCTTTTGAGAACTATGCTAAGATAATAACAACTGAAATATATATATATATATTTTTTTGGTTAAGAAGATTGGCCCTGAGCTAACATCTGTGCCAATCTTCCTCTATTTTTGTATGCGGGATGCCACCACAGCATGGCTTGATGAGTGGCGTAGGTCTGTGCTTAGGATCTGAACCCGCGAACTCTGGCCACCAAAGCGGAGCATGCCAAACTCAGGTACTATGCCATGGGGCCAGTACCCTTCATCAGGATCATTTTTGATGGCAAAATAGGTATTCTTACTAAACCATGACTGCTATCATTGTCATTTTCATTTGAGCTCTATAGTTTTGATAAAGAAAATTATCAAAATATACAAACAATAAATCAAAGGGTTATCTTGTGAAATGGTTTTTCAAACCTAAAGTACATTATTTAGTAACCTCTCAGCCTAGTTGCTTAGTTTTCTCAGTCTGGAAAGAGGTTGGAAAACACTGATTTTAGTTTCTCAACCACGAGGCACCAGCCTAAACTATTGGAAAGTTCTCAGTTAACTAAATACACAAACCTGTTAGATTAACAGTATACTTTTGGGCTAGACATGTGGGTAGTTGGAGATATATATATATAAAATTTAGTGTGTCTTGGTTTTGTTTTACTCCCAGTGGCAGTAATGGTACCTTTATTGTGGAATCATGGTACATCTGTCCTATCTTATGGAATAAGTATATCTTAGCAAAGCTAAGTTTCCCATTAAATTCCATTATAAAATGCAGAATTCTTTTCCAGGAAAAATAAAGTAGTGTAAAAACTAAATTGAAAACTCGATGAGAAAAAGACTAAGATAAATGTTATTTGCGAAACATTCTGTGATCACATTAGTTGATGGGCAGGTGTGATCAGCAGTCGCAATTTAGTGTCTTTTTAGCAAGGCTCTTTGCTTTTGCAGAACCTTTTTGGTTTTTTTGCTGAGGAAGATTAGCTCTGAGCTAACATCTATGCCAATCTTCCTCTTCTTTATATGTGGGTCACTGCCACAGCGTGGTTGATGAGTGATGCAGATCCGTGCCCAGGATCTGGGCCTGAGAACCTGGGCTGCTGAAGCGGAACACACCGAACTTAACCACTATGCCATAGGGCCAGCCTCTGCAGAACTTTTTGATTCTAAAGTGTTAAGTGACTTTTCCTTAGTAGCTCTGGCCTCTCTGAGGGCTCAGGGATAATAAAGTGAAGACACGTATTGGTCTGTCTTGCACCATCTAAGAAAATTTTAATGACCTATGGTGCACATTAGCATCATGGGAGTAAAAGTAAAATGATGCTTCAAGACCAACAAATGTGTATGACTTTATGAAGTTTCCTTTTGGTTAAACCTTGCATCACAACAGCTTTCGTAATTTTCTCCCAAATCAGCAACCACACACACGTTCTTATTTTCATGACTCACACTACATAAAAAGCAACCAATAGCACTGCAAAGATTTCCTATGTGTCCCAATACTCCTGACAGCTTGGCAGTAAGGACATTGCTTAGATCCTTTCGTGTCCCACCTAATATCAACAAATATCGCGATTATAGCAATCCTATAAATTCTAGCTCAAAGTATCAATGTGCCAAATAGCAAAGAGAACTGAATAAGAAGAAGCAGAAGAAGAGGAAGAAGAAGAAGAGGAGAAGGAGAAGGAGAAGGAGAGGAAGAGGAAGAGGAAGAGGAGGAAGAATAGGAGGAGGAGGAGGAAGGGGAAGACAAGGAGAGAGGAAGGAGAGGGTGAGAGGGAAGAGGAAGAAGAAGAGGAGGGGAAGCCATTTGATTTATCATCGTAAATTCTCAACCCAAAGTTGCTGAGGTGTATTGACACGTAAACTTGAGACCAGTTCAAGCCACACTGGAGCAGCACCTTTGAGATTTTCACTTCAGATGTCTCCCTTTTAAGTGACCCTAATACAGAGCATTTCCAAACTGAATGTTCTTCCCTAAGCCATGAACCATCGGCCCCTTCTATCAGAAATATAGAATTATTCTCCTGCCTGTGGATCTATGCACTCCTTCGTAGATGTTGCCATTTAATGAGGAAGGAAAATAGCCTGAATGAGAAAGCCTACAGGTTTTAGGAATACTGTCCCTGCTTTTTCAGTTCAATAAATTGAAAATGATTTTTATTTTGTCTACTCAGAACAACTAAAGTTCAGTATTCTGGTGTGTTTAAGTGTGTAGAAATTGAACATTGGAGGACACTTTTCAGTTTAACTTTGTATGGAAATTATATTATTATGTTGATAGGCCTTGGATAATAACATGAGACCATGTGATTCTGGTCTGTCTTACTCTTCCAAAACCCTTTACTTTCCCAGTTCAGTCATAAGAACTTTGTGTTTCCTGGGTCAAAGGTTAGGAAGAGGAGGAAACAATTTTGTTCACATAATTCAGATAGTTCAGATAATACAAGAATGACCGAGTTTATTGTGGTATTTGCAGTGGTTGCTCCTGGAGTGGAGATAAAGTTTTCCCTAGATTCTTACCATATATAATCAT